ACTTCTCCTCTGCCCATCAAAACTACCATCATAAGGGGGATGTTGGAACAAATTCCTGGCTGATGAGTCAGGGAAGTGGCCCATTGGATGGGCTGGGAACATCTGCATGCCATGCACAACAGCTCCTGATGTGCCATTTCCTAGGTCACCAAGGCAGGTGATCCAGTTACTCTCTGATGCTCTGAGGAGCATCAGGCAAGCCCAGTGAGGTGTCTCACCAAGCACTCAGACTGTCACCTGTGCACCTGCCTGATGTCAGCCTCAAAAGATGTGCCAAAAACTGAGCGGGGAATGAATTTACCAGAAGTGACAACACCGCACCATGCACAGCACAAGCCATGTAAAGCCACGTTCTGTTGGGAACATCCCTTCTGGTAGGAATACCCAGGTTCTGTCATCCAGAGGAGACTAAGGACTCCCAGTTTTGACACCTGATGGGCACCCAAGGGCCACGTGTGTCCCCCATACTTGCTCGTGCCAAGTGCTCAGCCAAGTGAGTCCCCAGCTGAGAGACAGAAAATAGCACCCTCAGCTCACACTAATAGTGTATTTATTGGAATATCTCACATGCAGGAACCAAGGAGATGATTTCTGGAGCAAGTTAAACAATGGCAGATTAATACAGTTGTCTTGTCCTTAACGGAAACACTTTCTACATGAGTACAGCAATGTTTTAGTGTTGTGTTTCTCTGCTTTGTGTGTATTTGTTTCTCTTTACATAATCGATCTCTTTAAACAGTTATGTCCCCCTTCTCCCCCTACCCCATTCCCAAACAAAAAAATATCCAGTATCTTCAGTAAATAAATATTATCCACTTTTATCTGGAAAGCCTACAGCTGTAATATACAGAGAAGCTATTACACAGGTTACGTTTGTAGGGTTAACGACAGCTCATGTAACATGTACAGAATGAGGAGCTCATACTCATAAAAACACGGAGCAGGGTGGGAAGTTTGGAGTGGGTTTGCCATGGGCTAAAGAGAACCAGCACCAGAGCTTGGCGCCACTCCCTGCCTCTCTCCAGGTGAGGAGGTGTGGGGAGCCTGAGGCTGGCGGCCTGGGGACGCAGCAGGCAGGCACAGCCCACTCCGGAGGGACGGGTGGAAGGTGCTACGTGAGCACCTGGCAAGGGGACACCTGCCTTGTCCCCTCGGCTGGTGGGAGCCCCCAGCAGCGGAAGGGTTACCTCCAAGATGGCTCTAAGTCCACTCACTGCTTCATTATTTCCATAAAAATAACTGTCCTGAGCTGTATTTTTCCAGGGGAGGCTCCACAAGCCTTGTGGTTAGCCTTTAGGAGGTAAACAATGACGGAGCTGGACGAGGATGGAGATAGCACAAGCAGTTCCCACTCCAGGACTAGCAGCAGCCGCAAGAGACTCGACAACTCATCAGACAAAACAGAGTGTTGGAAATGCAGCTGTTTGCTCTCCTGGGCTGCACGTCCTGTCCCCATGGGTGACAGCAGGAGAGCAGTGAATGGAGGAGCAGGAACAGGCTGTGCTGGCCACGGTGCTGGGCAGTGTGGGCTCTGCTCCCGCGGCAGCTCACAGAGGGACCATCACCCCTGCCCTGGGCCTGAAACCACGGCCTGGATCTGTTCTTCCACCACTGGAGGGAAACATCTCGCCACCACAGCCAGCTCCAAGTCCTCCATTTCAAAGAGGAACAGCCAATGTATCCCATATAAAAAAGCTGAATGAAGTCAAACAAACAGAAATCCTCATTAAAATCCTTCTTCAGCTTGGAGGTGCAAGACCAGCCCTGGGAATGGCAGAGCTGATTTGATCAGCACATCCCAGAGATGGAGGTTGTGATCACTGAAGGGGAAAGGTATGTGGGAGGCTACGTGAGGGTCCCAGGATGGACCAGTCCCTGCATTTGTGTTGTTCCCTTTAAGAGACACCATGCTACGTTTTTATGAGCAGTTCTCCTATGAGCCTTACCTACATACTAAACACCCTAAATGCCTGTACAGCACGTTGTTATCTATTATACCTGCTGGAGATGCAGCTGAAATCTACACAGAACAATTAAAAAAAATAACCCAAAGGATATATTTAAATAGAAACCATTCATTTCTTACATCTCAGCACATGAAGCGTTAACAGAAGAGGTTAAAAAACACACTGGAAAGAAAATATATAGACAAAATAAATATTTTAACCTAGAATAGGGCATGATTAGAACTTACAAAGGACCCCAAGAATAATTTAGTGTCATTGAGTGTCAAGCTGTGATTCTTAATATGCCTAGAAAGCACTGGGATGTTATTTCTTATGGAAAGTGGATCAGGCTGCAGCTCCATCCCTGTTCTTGCAAGCATCGGAGCCACACGAGTCCTCTGCCCACTTGCACAGAGGAAGCACTTAAGAGTGAAAGCGAAGAAAGAATAAATTGAGGTTGGTCTCCTGAAATGAAAAACCCCTTCCCTTTCCCTCAAACAGTTCCCACTGCTCCGGTTTTCTGCAGACCACAAGAGGATAGGGAAGATGAGAGATCCTGATACAGGACATTAGGGAAGCTCTAGCATAGCTTTTGTCTTTGTTAAAGAAGGTTTGGGCTAAACCACCTGTTCCTGTTCCCTTCGGTGCTTCCAGCCCCTGAGAGCTCAGCCCTGAGAGCCAGGTCTGGTGGATTTGGGCTCCAGACCCATCCAGGGTCCCACCAAAAGGACGCTTCCTCACAAGGAAGGCATCTCCTGGGGACTGCCCTACATCCAGCAAAGCTTGTGCCAGTGGCATCTGCCACTCCCTGCAAGCAGTGCCCTGGCTTTGCAGAGGATAATGCAGAATGTCAGCCTGGACCACAGGATGCCTGAGGCTGCATGCACCAAAAGAGCCCCCGAGCTGTGCCAACACACACTCCGTATCTCCCTCCAGCCCCAGCCTTCTCATTCCATCTCTTCTCCTCCTGTTTGGAGGGAGCAGTCACCAACAGCTCTGCAGAATCTTCCAGAAAGGGACCAGATTCTTCCTAAAGCAACACCTTGGAGGTCCCAGCACAGGTTTAGTGTGATAGAAAGAGGCATTAAGAGCACACTGCCCCCAGCACCTTTTGGCTGAGGGGTGGGGGACAAAGGGCCAGCAGACCTACAGCAGTGGGATGCTGTGGGGCCTTGGTGACAGCACTGGTGACATCGGTGCCACTCTGCATCATCTGACAGTGTCGCCATGCCTGAGCAATGCGATTATCTCCTCCGGCTTGGCAGGGAAGCTGGATTAACATGCTTAGAATCACCTGATGTGGCCATTTACAGGGTCAATGTGTTTCAAGGATTTAGAAGAGAAAATACACACTTAAAACACTCACAGAGCTTTCTGCATTGACAGGAATACCAACAATTCATTCTGTGCTGGCGAGACTGCTCAGGCGATCACCAGACGCCGTCTGAAATCAAATCAGCGTCGCTATAGAAGTTTCCTCAGGTTTCTGGGAGCTGGTGGCCACATCTCATGTGTCGCAGCAAGGCAGGGTCTGGCAGGAGCTGGCAGTGCCAATACCTGAGCATTGGGCTCACCTTGAGTTGAACAGTGAGGGCAGTGGGTGAGGGCAGTAGTGTGTCCATGCAGCCAAGGTGCTGTCCTGGCATGTTCCATTAGCCACAGAGAAGATGGAATGGGAGAAACCCTCTACAGACCCACACAGAAGGGCTTCAGCTGGGGAGAGGGCCAGCAAGTGGGGAGAAAATCTTGATCCCCAAGCTATCTCCATCCTCACACTGTTTTTTCCCTGTCCACTTGCAAGCCATGCTACAGGGAGCAGTGAGCTACAGAGCAGCAGTGAGGTGCCAAGTCAGCACAGAGGGGTAGCAAGGCAGCTTTGCCAGGGCCCAGCTACATATGGACGGATCTTGGAAGAGGATGCAGGCAGGGCAGGACGGAGGAGATGATGAGCAGAAAGAGCACAGAGTGACATCTGACCTGGGACAGCCTGGAAATCCTGCACCAAGCAACACTTCCCTTCAAAGATTAATGCATCCGCTCTCAAAGTCCATCAGTGCTGCGATCAGACCATTTGGTAACAGGTTTTGTGTGTCACAACCTACCAAAGCATGTGGTCCCTGGAGAGTATGGTATGGGCTGAAATCAGATGCTATGCTCAGATAAAAGCTTCTATCACTTGGTCTAGAACAACTTCCAAGACAGCTCGACACACATCAGCATCCCAGGAAGCTCAGACATGTCAGGTCAGAAGGAAGTGGCTGGTTGCCTAAGTCAAGAAGTGCCCTGAGGAAGAGGGGTTGGAGGGGCTGCCTGCACGGGTGTTCAGCTGATAAAGGAGAGGAGATTCTCCTGCCATGCACTGCTCAGCTCTCTCTTTGATCCTGCCATTCTGTGCCACTGGCTTCCTCCCAAGGAGCATGCTGGGGATGCGGTGAGGGCTGGAGCTGCCTGCTCCAGCTCTGCTTGTCAGCCCAGCAAGGCAGGCACACATGCTGGAATCCCTTCTGGCAGCTCCAGAGGAGCAGCACTCTCAGCCATGCCTCTGGCAAGCAAGGGAATATGCTTGTTTGCACAGAGACTGCAGCCCTGTAGGAGCTGGGAGTTAATAAAGGATGGAGGGATTAAAGGACATTCCAAAAATTACAGATAGCACAGCCACGAACATCCAACACTTTCTCAGGCCCAAAACTAGAAGGAAATGAGGAGTTTCACCTCCAGCACAGCCTGGCATGGCTAATCCCTCCATGGTAACCATCTCCCTCGGTGATCTGTACAAGCCTCTGAGGTTTGCCTCATTTTCTCATCCCTACCCCCAAAACCCAGCATGTCTATCCTACAAGGCATGGCAGGGAATCCAGGAACCTCAGTTCACACCCAATCCATGAGCAAGTCCCATCCATCTGCATGGATGTTATTTACACCAAATGCAGAGCTCTACAGTCCCTGAAGAAGGAATCTAAGGTAAGGAAGAAATAACTGAGCTATTTTAAAAGGCAAACACACCAGAAAAAATCCTCGTGTGAGAATGCTCTCCCAAAGAGCGAGGTGCTTCCTGTACTAACGTTACAGCATCCACTTAGCCCAGCGTTTTCCATCCTCATCAGCTGCCAGAGCTACTGGACATGGCCAACAGACTGCTTCAAATTAGAGCAAGCCCAGATAAAACACAAGGCAAAAAATACCCTGTGAGATTTAGAAATGAAACGCCACAGAAAGTGGGGAAAAGCGACCACCATATGGTACTGGGAGATGTGTGAGTGGGAGAGTAAAGGATTTTAACTTGTGAAGCACATGTTGAAAGGGGAACAGTTGTTCCTTGCTGTCGAATCCGACACGAAAGCCAATACGTTAACATTTTATCTAAAAATAAAGACCCACTCCTCCTGAACATTCCAGCTCAGTCAATTACATGCTGATTGACAGAGCAGTCTACTTGGCAGGACCTGCCTACAGAAGAGGATGATCCCTACATAAATTGAAGGGCAAGGCTGCTCTCTCCCCCCTGGGCTTTTGTTTCAGCCCAGTGTGACGTACTCGTGCATTCTGAAGGGGTTTTCAGCATCAAGAGCTGGTTTTGTGCAGCTGGGACAGGAAGGAGGGGATTAAGCAAGTGCTGGAGAATCGTGGTCTGGCAGGAATAGTGTTGGATTTAAATAGAAAGAGTCAGCTTGTGGGGGTGGATCGTTTGGGGAGGGGGGGAAGGAGAAGCGATCTATGAAATGAGGGGGAAAGGGGTTGTGGCTAGCCAAGGACTGTGGGAGGACAAAGTGGCCGTACAGCGACATTCGCCCGCGGGGCACAGGGGTGGGGAAATCGAGCCACCAGTGCAAAGAGGGCATCCTCCGAGCGCTCCTGCTTTTTCCTGCTGGAAGGATTTGTCGGAGGGGTGGGGGCTTCCAGGGGAGGGGATGGCAGACTGGGGACCATCTCCGCCGCTTTGGCTCGCTCTTCTAAAAATTTGTCAAACTCTGCAATGCAAAAACCAGAAGGAAGACAGGTAAGAACTGGGGCTGTGGTGTCAGCCCCATGGACAGAGGTTAGCAGGGTCCAAAATTCCAGTGCCTGGCATTCTGTCAGACTGTGTTTGCAGCACACATACTGGTACAGCCTGACTTCCTCGGGAAAGGGTACAGCCGTCCTTGGAGACACTCGAGCTCAGGCAGCAGCTGGAATCAAACCCACACTATGCCACCAGCTGTGACAGAACCAGGGAAACATCATTCCAAAGGGCTGAGCAGCTTGGGGACACATTCCTGCCGGCACAAACACAGTGCTCAGCCAAGGAAGATGGCAGGGAAGCACTTACAGCCAGGAGGGCTCCCCACACCATAAATGCAAACTTTTTGCTCTAAAATGCTCTGCTCCTGCCTTTCTGAGCATGGAAGCATTTTCTGGGAAACATCAGGCTGGGAGAAGGCAGCATCTCAGCAGGGATCAAAGCAAATTCCATCTGAGCACTAACCTGAGAATGGCTCATAGCCATGGGCATCTCTGCTTACCTTCACTGGTCACTCCTTCTTCCAGTTCGTTGCCTTTCTGCAATGGGAACAAAAAGGCACGTGAGCACACAGGCACTGCTTCCCCTTCCCTGTCATCCTCTCCACCTCTAATACAACTGGACAGTTTCCACCACTTGTTTCCACATGTTAACCATTGGAGCAGGGTGACTTGGGGAAATCACACAGCTCCCACCTCGGGAGGCCAGTGGGGACTGACATTTCAGTGCACTGCAGAGCAGGAAGATGAGCACTCAGATGCTTCTGGTGGATTGCTAAGCTTTCCCCGTTGGACCTGAATGGCAGTCCAGCACTGTTTCTCCTTCAAACAGTAAGCCTGGTCCAAAACTGAGCTGTGTGAGTCACAGACACCCTGTACCAGATGGCATCTTTTCTGTCACACAGTCCTTTAAAAAGTCAGGACTGCGGTTTGCATTGTGTCTCCAAATAAAATGCACTTTTAGCTGACAAAGGACACGTGCTGCAAAATCATTTGGGGCCAACATTCCTCCTGTGGGAGTTCATTTTTGATTTCACACAAAAAATATAGCAGCTTTCTTGGCATCAACACTGTACAAAGACAAGACCAGGGTAGGCTGAACGATGGATACTGATGGCAGTTAGTGCCTGTCCATGAGAATCAAAGGCTGGGAATGGAGTCACTGTATTTCCACCAGCTGTGTGCACTTCAACATGTGAATTTCCAGTAAGGAAATTAAAAGTCCAAGGATGTGGAATCCTTGTCAATCTATCAGGATGATAAATATGGATAAAAATACTGTTTGAAAACCTCATGTTGAACCTGCTTTGAAAAAGTAGAGTATTTGTCCACACCTGGCTCCTCTGCCAGGAGAGTGGGAACATACCCTTAGAAGGGTTTTTAGTGCCTGAGCATCCCTGGCTTCCTGCTGCACTGAGGTTTCCAAAGGTTCATACAGCAGCCACTGCTTCATATGCAGAGGTACTGTTTGTGCCAGTGTACCCCAAAAAGGGTAAGGACATAAATAACTGTAGCTAGCCTAACCCATAACTTCCTCAGCTAGGAAGCAGAGAACTGAAATGAGCCATTAATAAAAACAGGAAAGGAGACCCAGAGTGAAAACCAAAACCCAGACCAAACTTTCTCAGAGAACATCTCTATGCTGCACCCACATACAGTTGGGACAGAGACCCTGGGACACCCCCAGGATTGTTCAGGCATTTACAGGACACTTCTCTGCTTTGCTCCTTTTGAGCAAGACTCTCCGGGGGATGACAGATACAGAGAGGTACCTCTGTGTATCTCCATCAGATCTTTGCTCCTGCTAAATTAATTCAAATTTAACCCAAAAGTTTGTTGTTTAAGCAGAGTGCACATGCTACATTTACTGTATTTCTTTAACAAAATGAAGCCTGTTTGTCATTTTGTGACTCCTGTAGTGAGGGCTGACAAACCTACCTGCAGCTGGAACCCAGTGACATTTCAGACAGCCAGTCAGTCTGCCAAACTCAAACACTGAACTCAGAAGCTGTTTAAAGCACTTCAGGCAGCTTTGGAGAGCAGGAGAATTTTCCTCCTTCCAGTACAGCCAGCTCCTCCAGTGCTGGAGCTGACGTGCCAGAGCGTGCCTGCAGCTCCGCTGCCAGAGCTGGGGAGCAGAGCCTGCACCCCACAGCTCCCAGCTGGGAACTGAGCTGGCAACAGCAAGGGGTTGGGGAGACCCTAAGGAGCAGGGAGTTTTCTGTCTGAAGCTGGAAGAATGGAAGGAGACAATCCTTGGGGATATGGTGACCACAAGGAAACAGTTTAGTTCACCAAAACCATGTTTAAAAGAACAGTGTGAACACCACCCCCCACCCACCCCCAAAATGCACTTGGCTAATTTGAGTCAGATGCTTACATTTAAAAAAACCAAACCAGAATCAGTGTGTACTAGTTGTACCCTCCTTAAACTAAATGTGTGTTGGGACAGCAAAACAAACTCCAGAGGGAAGGAAAAGCTACTTTTAGTTTTGCCTTTTGTTTGTTTGTTTAATAACTACCAGACAATAATCATTAAGGAGAAACTGAAAGTTATAAACATTGAAGAGAGACTGTTACAAACATTTATGATTACTATTTATGAAACATGACAAGATTGCCTGCCAGTTTAGCAAAGACATCTTGATTTGAATCTAAGCCCTGATCCAGCATCTCTTAAAAGCATGCCTGAAGGTAAGCAGGAACTCAGACCCTGTAAAGAAAGCACCTTTCAACATGGGCTTTGAGTCTGGTGGAGAAAACTTCAGCCCATATTTCATGCTTCCCTGTTTGGGAACCAGAATTCCATGATTTCTGGAACAAACGCTATTCTGTGATGATAACATGGAGAAGGGAAAATGAAACAGCTCAGAAAAAAGCGTTTTGATTGAATTACTGAACACAACTCTGTCTCCTCCTGCTTAGATGGTTCCTTCAAAGGGAACAAAGCTCTCTGGTTGGGAAGTTTCACTGCTTCCTGCTATAAGAAGTACCAGGAGCTCAGAAATGCATTGAAAGTTACCCATACAAGTGAAAAATGAAAATATAAAGAGTCTCACCAAGTCGGTACTGAGCCACTCCTCAATGTCATCCATGACAGAGGACTGTGCAACAGGGATCTAGGGAGCGCAGCGAGAGAACAGCAAGGCAGGCAAAAACCAAAACACATCCACAATCATGGCCACAGAGCAATGGAAAACGCCAGAAATAAGATTAAAAACAAAACAAAAACAAAGATGTAAGATGTGCTGGAAAAAGAAAAAAAAAAGGCAACAAAATATAAATGGCATTTCAAATAAAGAAACAACTTGGAAAGGAAATTATGAACAACAAGGCTAAAAAAAAAACCAAGAGAAAGATTATGGGGAGTGACGTGACTGGATGCCAGCGTGAGACGGGTAACTGCTCGACCACATATTAAAACCATCAAGATGACTGATGATTCTAATCTTGATCGTGAAAGGCTTTTAAGGGTAGAATACTGGATATCAGTTAGGTTTTGAAATGTTATATTTACCCCTTTTGAGTTTTTAAAAAAATGGGTATTAGCCACAGAGAAGGGTTAGCAAAATGTGGGGCTCAAAGTCTTCAGGCAACACTCCTATGAAAACAATTTGGTTTCCCTGCAGGTGGAGGCAGTCAGAGCCCAGGGTACAGTCATGCTTCCTCCCAGATCCTCCTCCCACCACACCACCGAGCCCTGGCAAGCCTTGGCACAATGGTTTAAAGCAAAACCGATCCAGCTCCTTGTTCCCACTCCTCTGCCAAAGGTGACCCTCCGCAGCACAGGCAGGAGAACCCCACGTGTGTCAGGGCAAAGTGCGGAGTCTCAAAGGTGAGGAGGAGGAGGAGAGGCCAGCACATGCTGCCCTCAGCTCCAGAGCTGCAGCAGGGCTCTCCAGAGCTTGCTTGTCAGGCTCCAGGGATGGTTTAACACTGAGGCATGGAAGGTTTGCCTCTGCTTCTGCCGTGGAACCGCTCACATTACCAGTGCAATTGCGACAGGCAGCGCAGAGGCAGCTGAAGTGCAGAGATTTCACACAGTGCTATAGGCAACTGGGTCAGCAAAGGGAAATTACTAAGTATTAGGTGTAGAATTTCCTGACCTAACTACACTGCTTAAATACAACAGAAGGCTGCTGAGGTAAACAGGAAAACACCACAATAGATCTCGTAAGGGCAACCTAAGAAATACTTGGAAAACAATGTCAGACACACAGGATCCAGGCCAGGGCACAGCACCAGGGCTGGAGGCAGGAGACCTGGGGCTGCTGGAGGGGATGTCCTAGGCAGAAAAGGTGTCAGGGGTTCTCCACAGCTTTGCCTGAAACCTCTCACAGGAATAAGCCTCCCTGGCAGTGTTCAAAACCATGCAGAAGTGGTGCTAAGGGACATAGTTCAGTTGTGGCCTTTGCAGTGTTGGGTTAATGGCTGGAATTGATATCTTGGAGGTCTTTTCCCACCTTAATGATTCTGTGATTTTATAAGAGGAGCTGAAAGAGGCTCTGCAGATGAATTTGCTGGGAGACGTAGTTTTTCAAGGGACTTGTAGCAGAGGAATACAGACAAACACTGGACAACAGAGGCAGCAGCACAGGCTGAGGCTGTTTAGCAAAGCTCCTTAGGAATTTTTTTCACAGAATCAAGTGGCCCTTTGCACTAAGGAGGTGAGTTAAGCACTTGCTTGAAGTGAGGTCTGCTAAGGTGGGTTAGTTGTGTCAAAAAACTGGAAATCCAGGGCTCAATCCAGAGCATCTCTCACTAAGAGAGGCACCAGGAAGGTGGCTGGGCTCTGACTCGGCAGGTTGCTGGACAAAGTGCATGTGACAGATCCAAGAAGGGTCCGAGGCACAAGCTGTTATTTTACTATCAGCTGATACATAAAGATTCCCAAACAGAAGGCAAGTTTCCCTTGGAATGGGACAGATTCAGGCCAATTGCCCCTTTTTAGTTTGCAATGGAGAGCTGAATCATGCACCTAAAATGTTATTGCAGTGTGCTGTAGCTGCTGCGAGCTGGCCCAGGTGGCCACTAACTGGATGCTCTGTAAGCATCTTCCAACATGTTCCTTTGCATGGACAAGTTGCATCTTGTTGAACTGGCTTGTTAGTTTAACAGCTTCAGATACAAACTAATGAATGAATTTAGCCTACAGCAACTTAAAACCCACTGCAGAAGTTGCACTGTTGTCTCTCTCCTGTGTTTCTTAACCCACAAGCAATAGGTAATGCTGGGGAAGGTGAAGCCTTGCCAGCTGGTGGCTGGTTTGCAGCTCAGAAAGGTGCTTACAGTTCTTTAAAGACAAGAAAATGTGTATGGAAGGGAGAAGAAAAATAGCAGGTTTGCTTTTTGCTTTTCTGTGAATAAAATTCACAGAAACACAGCACCTAAAGGTGCTCCAAGAGAGCTGGAGAGGGACTTTGGGCAAGGGCCTGGAGTGACAGAACAAGAGGAATGGCTTCACACTGCCAGAGGCAGGGATTGATGGGATATTGGGAAGAAATTCTTCCCTGTAAGGGTGCTGAGGCACTGGCACAGGTTGCCCAGGGAGGCTGTGGCTGCCCCATCCCTGGAAGTGTTCAAGGCCAGGTTAGATGGGGCTTGGAGCAACCTGGGCTAGTGGGAGGTGTCCCTGCCCAGGGCAGGGGGTTGGACTGGATAGTCTTTAAGGTCCCTTCCAACCCAAACCATTCTGGGATTCTGTGATTCTATAAAAATAAGAGCAGCTGTTCTAAAGACCCGGTGGTGCTGTGGTCCCTGGATTAGAAGGAACAGCAGCTCAAATCATAGGACTGATCAAGTACTGGATTCCTGGGAATCGTAGGACTCTTGCGTTTGCAGGAGTCCTCAAAGAACAGCTCAGCAGCACAGGAGTTTGTGCTGTGGTGTTCCATAAGATTTTAAAAAAAAAAAAGAAAAAAGGAATTCTACTTTCAGCTAGAGCTACTTATAACAAACAAACAAAGCCCTCAGAAGTGCAAGAACACTCCTCGCAGAGAAGCAGACAAAGCTGTAAGATAAACATTTGAGTGTGTCAGACATTTGCTATTCAGCATTGACCTTTTAAAAAGCTTCCCCATCTTCCAGCACACTCACAGCAGAGCTGAGGGTTTGTATCTATTGCTCCTTCCATGCTCAAACTTCCAATTTACTTTCCTCGGGCTCTGAGCCCCGTTTTCCCCATAAAGCCTGGGTTACATGTGCCAGGTTTAATTTGTTCAAGAATAAAGAGAGGGGGAAACTCTCCAAGAGTAATTGGAAGTTTTAAATATTTTAACAATAACATTGTACCATTTATATTTCATTTTAAAGTGACCACATGGAGAAGTTCATTTTGAGTTCACTTGGGTATTTGGCAAGTCTCACCCTTTCCTTAAGCCCTAAACTGAAAAATGTGGAGGGGAGTTTTGCTGAAACTAATCCCTAAATCACAACAGAGGCAATGTAAAAATAAATTAACTAGTTTACACATTAAAAAAAAGAACAGTTTCTGGGAACAAACAGCAGTGGCAGGCACAGACTACATGGGAAAGGCTCTGGAATGGGTCTTGTTAATGCTTTGATTATGCAAACATCCACGGTCTAGTGAGGCTCTCAGTCTTGGCAAGACAGGTCCCCAGATAGTCAGTGCTGGCTGCAAGAGCTGGTTTTATAAAGATATTGTGATTTCTTTTTTTGAAAGGCTATGCTCAAAGTAAATGGAAATTAAGTCACAACATATTTTTGAGTACTCAAAGTAACTGGCTTTAATTAAAAGTTGGGCTGATTGCTCAAATTCCTTTTTTATTTAGTCTTTGGAAAATCCTACAAATGGGATCATCTCAATGGTCCTGAAAGGGAAATGGAAAAGGAGGGCTGGGAGAACAAAAGTGAGTGTTCAATCCCATAAAACCTACAGGAACCTGGAATCCAAGTTCCTGCTTATCTAAGTTAGATTGTGTTGGTGTTCTCACTAGCAATCAAAAGCCAAAGAGTATTGCCAATATATTTCCTCAGAAGTCATAAAATCCAATATTCTACCCTTAAAAAGACAGTTTAAGGTTATTATTATCACATTTTATTTCTATTAAAAATGATCCCACTGGAAAAGAAGCAGGTATGAAATGACAATTCAGGTCTCTAGGTGAGCTCATTAATGTTCTTAAAGTGTTTAACAAGGTTTATGCTAATTGTTGCTAGACTATAGCCTTGTAATAGCTTAGTTAATTCCACTTCTTTCTAGATGTTTAACAGAGCTGACATCAGTACTTGGTTAGCTGCTACTCCCTCCCCCTTGTTGGTTAGCAATAGGAAAGGTGTGTCATTCCCACAGCAGCACTACAAGCACACTACCAGGCTACTCCAGCTCGCTACTACAGCCTTACCATCTATTTAAAGCTGTTGTGATCTTGAAATAGCTGCTTGGCCTCGATATTAGAACATGCTGACTTCACATGTAAGGATTAAGTTAACTACTTGATTACTTGTCACTGTGTTTACACACTGCATAGATGGGGAAGGCAAGAGCTTGGGTGCAGCATGTTACCCAGGAGAGCCTGTTGTGCCCATACAACAACCTGCCCATCTGGATCCTACAGGTGTGTCCAGACAGTGGCAGCCCTCACTCACGTGGGGTATTGGATTGTCCTTGCACAGCACTCCAGAAAATGTTGCAGCTGGACAGGTAAAGAGATCCACGTGGTCTTCAGCTAAGGGAACACACCTGCCTGCCTTCAAAAGGGAAAAGGGTCCTACCACACGGGAGAAATGAGATCTTCACATGTTTATGGTTTGGTTTATCCACAATTCAAGCAGTTCAGTCTCCAAGAAGATGATGTATTTCAACAGTCTCATGTTACCTGAGTCATTTCCACATGTCAGATCCTATCTCTCTCTTGAAGGCACACATAGTGGCATCCCACTTGGTCACTGATTAACAGAGGTCTCACTTCATCTTTACTCACATATCTTTACGACTCTTCTCTCTAGCCAGGCATGCTGCTTGAGCTCAAGATACAACGCTGAGAGGTGTTCCTATCACTTTCTGTGAATTCTGGTTCAGTTTCACCCTTCCCCTGACACTGTCCCAGTTAATGTCCTGACGTGGTGGCTTAGGCAACACCTCACTTTCATAACAAAC